ATACCGTTTCTAATGATTAATCCATTGTTAGGAACGTATGGAAGATGGTAATAATAATGTTTATATAAATATTCATAAATAATGTAATTATCAGAACTTACTTTGTTATATAAGTATATTGTATTTGATATTTTATATATTATTTTATGTTATAAATATTGAAATCTCGCGAGTATTGTAATTATCAAAATGATATATTGAAATTTTAATAAGATTTTATTAATCCCGATATGATTTATTTCACGACAATCAACAAGTTTGTTAATAAACCAAATGAATTTTAAAAATTAAAAACCCGCCCGTAATCACTTAATTTAATATAAAATTGTAAAAATAATATAAAATAAAAGTCTGTAAATGAGAGAAACTTCAACTTGTTGATTCATTAATATTATTAAGTATTAAAAATATACAAATTCAGAATATATTCAACAACATTTCGAGATAAGAAAATAGATAATAAAGCCTAGAGATAACGATATCGAGAAACATAAAAATATTCTCAAATAACAAGAATCGTAAATCTAGAATTGCGAAGGTGGGCTGTTCTTTAAATAAAATAATCACAAACTTATTACCAACAACGTGATAAAACTTCAATAACCTTCAATAAACTTCTAAAAGAATCTAATTTCACGACGATATTTTTAACGAGATAAATAACTGTAGCGTAATAATATACCGAGAAAATAAATAACATATGAAAAATCAAAAATACACCATATCTACTGAAATTAAACTTAAAACCGTTCAAAGAGAGGGGAAAAAAAAAAAATAAAAAAATAAAAAAATAAATAAAAATAACAAAATAATTTTAAGTTTATCAAACAGTGGCCCATCAAAGAAACCAGTCCTCAATTACAATTCCACGAAAACCGATCAATTTCCTCGAGCTATCCTTATTACTAAAATAACTCAATAACTCGGGGCGGAGGACTATAATCAGTTCACGATAATTACTCGTCGTGAACAGTCCCTCGGAATTAATTGGTCGTAGGAGATCGAATACGAAAATTTCACGTAATTTCCCGTCAAAATGGGAATAAAACATGGCGAGGGAACGATAAAATAAAATCGGCGGTGAAAAACAATAAAACCACCAGCCGATTATCCACGTCCGAACTTCGATTACTCCCCCGTCTAATTAAATGGGAGACCGTGCCCGAGATATAGTTTCCAGTTTCTTGTCAGTTACTTTCTCGTCCATTATACCTTTTTATCAATTACGAATTAAAGAGATATATCTTTAATATTCGCGAGAGAAAACAATGGGGGGGGGGGGGCAGTTCGAGAAATTGTATCTCAAGACGCCTATATATACCTATTCTTCTCTCTTAATATTTCTTTTTTTATAATTAATTCGAATACAAAAAAGGAATGAAAAGAATCGTATCAACTTTTGGATAAATATTGTTATTGTTAAAAGATGGGTCGCAACCAACATCACCATGATCAATTTACAATGAATGGCCGTTCACGGGGCCATCTTCGATCGAATCGTTCCCTAATCGTTCAAAATTGATTGCAATGACCAATAAATTAGCTGGAAACGAGATGCTCGTTCGGGATGTTCAGAGGTTGGGAAAGAAGAGGATGAAAAGAAAGCGAGACACCTCGCGGTGCTGATCTCTCACGGCTGTCAGACGTGACACGTTTATCTTAAACAGCGTTACGTTCAACACTCGAGGAACTCATTAGTTAGGTTGCGCACATGCAGTTCGCGTTTTACGTTCACGCTTGCCTACGTACGTTGGCCCATTAGCAAAATTAGAAAGAGAATATTATTTTAAACGCGCCGCGTGCTGTGAAAACGCTCGAAAGAATTGCGAGTTTCGCTTTGAACCGCTCCTTGGTCCTTCCTCTTTACCATTCTTCCCTTCTTTCTTTTTTTTTTCCTTTCGATCTTTCACTTTCTCGATATTTTTCCAAATCCATCTGCATCTGCATCTTGTGAAATTTTCCCTTTCTTTTCTTTAATTTATTAACAGTTCTCGCGAATGAATATTTGGAAAAATATTTAACGAATGCTGTTCACTCTTTCAACTTTTAAAACTTTTTCTTAATCTAACACAGTTTCTCCGCAAATCGGTTTCAAGAATGGAAAATTTGATTGATAGAATTATTATGGAAATCGACGAATCAATTAACACGGTTCTAATTGAATACCTGTTTACATCGAAACTATATTAGATTTTTAAAATAATTGAAGATATCAATCAAACCATCATTTCAAGGAGAAAAATAATAAAAGTATTATTCGCCATCCAAATTAATAAGCGTGCAAGACTCGATAACGAAACATTATATTTCACGGGAAAAAGGAAAAAGAAAAAAAGAAGGAGGAGGAAAAAATAAAATTACCGAGAATTCATGCGAATAACCTGGAATATCGCGTGAACTCTAACAACAAAATTATCATCGAAAAAAAATCGAACAATTTGTTTTCGAAGCTGACGCTCGTAAATCTTCGATGATTCGATCATAATATTCTGGAACGACGAGTCATCCGCTATCGATAAATAAAAACAGAAATCATTGCCAAGAATATGGTCAAGATCGCCACGGTTTTACGCAAGTTTCCAACGAAACGGAACCGAGAGAGGGGAAAAAAAAGTTTCAAGGGAGAAAGATGGAAAAGAGAGTGGAAAGAGAGAGAGAGAGAGAGAGAGAGAGAGAGTTAAGTGGCGCTCCCTTCGAGGTATAAACAAGCGTTAGGGACATGAATGGGATCACGTAAAAAACAGATTTCCACCCTCGATCTCGTACACGAAACGTGATTTCAGGCCGTCAAGTTGGAAGGAAGGGTGGAAAAAGGGCGTTGCGGATTGGGGCTAACCCTGTAAGCGATCCCAGGGGCTCGTCAGGAACGATCTTATGATTGACCGTGTTACGACACTCCCTATAGACCATTTTCCGAACGTATCCTGGAAATACTGGAGTTCGAACCGGAGGCCGATACACGGAGGAAGAAGCGCGCGTGTGGCTCGAGATTCGATTCGAATGGGCTATTTGGGGGTGTTTGGGGGTGGCTGGGATTGAACCGTGATCGAGAATATTCGATTGTCACAATCCTTTCCTTCATATTGTACACAGGATGGTAATTTTGATTATTTATTAATTAAGTGAAAGCTAAATTTATTTATTATTAATTTCTTTTTTTTTTTTAGAATTGGTAATTGTTTTTTTTTTTTTTTTTAATTTAGAATGTATACAAGATGCAAAAAGATTTCAAAGAAGACATTTTTATTATTTAATTTCACCTTTTCTAATTGTATTTATAAAAAATTTTCAAGGTATGGATGAATGCCTGCAGTTTATTCGAAAATTGATAATAGAAATTTTTTTTCCATAAGCCAGTGAATGATTTTGGTTTCTGAAAGGCTCAAAGAGGAAGTTAATCATGAGATTTCACATTTTTATGGATAACGTTGTCATAATTTTTGTAATGTTCGTATTAATTAATGTCGCAATTATTAATTTTTTTAATAATTCCCGTTTAACACGTTTGGTCGGTAAAACCTATTTCTTTCTAGGAATTACTATACTTAAAAATTTTACACTAACTTGTCGATTTAAAGAAACTTGCGAAATTCATATATCCCATAGCCGAAAAATAATGCATCATCGAAATAGTCGAAGGTGTTTTTTAAATTATTGGAAATATTATAATATAGCAATGCCTGCTAAGCTTGGAAACGTGAAACTGGTTCCACATCACGTTATTAAAATATTAACGCGAGACATTCCGGAGCATTTACTTATTATAAATAATCCAGCTTATGATAATCATTTCGCTACGCCTGACTCACTAGACGCTTAACAATAATGTTTATGCCGATGTGCAAAATGTTAACCGAGTTACACTTCGTGAAATATAACAATCATACGATTCCATCCCGTAATAGATGAAATTATTTCGCGAGCCCCTGTTAAAATTTTAAACCACGCATTGTATGCATTAATAACGCGGGAGGGAAAAAAAAGTACGAGACAAACAAGTTGCTTCGATATAACGCGGAGTGAAAAATTTTAATAAAAAAAAATTTTAACCAAATTGAAGATAATTTTCTCCTAATAAGGAACAAATTATCAATTTATTACAAAAAAAAAAAGAAAAAAAAGATTAAAATTTAAGGTAATTTTTTTCACAAAAACGAATATGATTCGTTGAGATTCGACAGAGATTATTAGACAATTAATTGATAATTCTTTCCTTCGAAAAACCCGTTCGACATTTTATCAAATATGCGAGGAAGCCAGTTTCTAATCGTTTTAATATAGCCAAGATTAGAAGCACGGAGTAACAGTTTAATTTTCCTAGTTAAATCGAGCAATAAACTATCGAGCAATCTGCAAGTTCCCTATCTTATTTGCCTCAAAATTGCAGCTTATCGCAGCATAAGTATGCAAACTATCGTTAGTAAGGAAACCTGGCAATGAATTCGAAATTGAGTTTCAATTTAGTCCAAAAGTGGATCGGATACCTCTCTCTCTTCTTAACTCTCATTATTCCACTTTTTCCCTCCCCCTATAAAACGGCTTTAAAAACGACCGATACAACAAATCGACACGTATCTTGTGCACAAATATTATAAATAAAACCGTTAGAAAAACGATCAAAACGAAACAAAGAAAATTAAAACAATCTCGCGAACAAACGTATCTATAAATATACCAAAACTATCTACAGAAACAGAAACACACAGAAACAACGATAGAACAGATAGAACAGATAGTAAAATCGATTTCATCCATCCCCAATAATTACGATCTCAAACGAACGAGAGTTATTAACTCAGAGATTAATCTCAGAAAATTCTAACAAGGAAAAACACCGACGAATCGAATCCGACAAACAAACGTGATCTCGCAAGCAGCTGCCGCGCTCATTATTCCAAACAACTTGGCTACAACGTCCGTAAGCTCTGTGTAACAAAAAAAAAAGAAGAAGAAGAAGAATAAGAAGGGGAGGAGGAAGAGGAAAAATGAAAGCCACTTACCTTTCTTCTCGTCATCCTCGTCGGCGTGATCGGCACCGTGATGAAGATGATGGGCGGTCGGATGGTGGCTAGTTATCGCCGGCACCAGGGGGTGGTTCCCCAGTGCCGGATGCGGATGATGAGGATGATGATGACTGAGGAACCTGACAGCGGCAGCCGCCGCCTGATGCTGGGCCTGCATCGTCTGCTGTACCTGGCTTTGTACCTGGCCGAGGACCGGATGATGGGGTGGCCATCCTGCCAGGTGGAACGGAAACACGGGTGTCGCCCTCTGGAACAGCCTGGCCGGTGTCAGCAGGGAACCACCGGAACCGGCGGAACCGCTACCAGGAGGCAGTGGGAAGGACAGACCACCTCCTGGCTCCAGGACCATGTTTGGTACCAACGTGGCGACTGTTTCTCTCTCCACTGGAGAGATCTCACTTATTTTGCATCTATATCCTTTCGAGCTCGATGACGCACTACGAATGAGGTGGCCGCGGTTCCTTCAGCTTCATGTGAACCGGCGAGTGTTGCGAAGTTTTTCTTGGAACTCTCGAGGGCCCGGGATATTATTGTTGCACACGTGCGATGTCAATAAGTTTTTGTCGAATATGGACTGTTTGTAGACACTTTGTTTGTTTACATCTTATATATAGGAGAGAGATTTGATGTTTGAATAAATGGAGTTTAAAGATTTTTAGACATACGCGGATAAAATGGTGTTCATATTTGTTGGGGATCAATGGTTCGCGGAGATGTGAAGACGGATTGTGTTAACGTGATTGTGGCAAGTCGACAGCCGTCGGAAAGCGTGCTCAGAGAATTCTGTCTATCTATGGTAACCAGTCTTTTTCGCTTTTTTAAATGATCCTTCGGCAGAGAGGATTTCAATAAATTTTCCGCTCTCTTTCGCTATCTTTAATCTCAGTCTCTTCAGTCTTTTACTCGTTTTCTTTCTTTACCAAAGTCCTCGATAAATCTCACAACAACGATTTTAAATTCCATAAAACGATCAGTTAAAACTATCAGTTTGTTCGAGAGATATTTCGTCAATATTCGTGTATCAATCTCAACAATCCATCGGCCTTTTCCTCTGTCACAATTTCCCGACAATTATCACTCGGTCACTGAAAACAATTTCATCGAAAAATCAGGTTATAACCCTATCAGTCTAAGATCCTGTCCAATCCTCGTCCCGAATGTTCATCTTCCCTCAACGCACCGAACTTGTAAAAGTCACCAAGTGAAACAGGATCATCTCGGCAAAACACAGGTGAAACAAAATCACTGGAGTCAGAGAGATGACACTTGTTAAAGACAACGCCTGGACAATGCGATCGCACCTGAGGTTACGCAATTGGCCGGCCACGAAAACACTGATCAGCTGACGAGATTACAGTCACCAAAAAAGGGGTGTTTCGGCGGGTGCGTGGTTCGAATTCGGCCAATTCGCGCGACGAGCGGATTCCAGGGATTCCTCGGCCTGGCAAGGACCTGTTAGTGTGTTTAGGACCACTACGGCACGAGCCAACGGCACAGCACTATCTGGCTGCCGAGCGAAGTCAACGGCTCCCCTCTGTCTATGGATTTGAAACTGGTTTGGATCGCCACCCAGAGGCACCCGATTGGCCGGCCGGATAGCGGGTTCACGGGTGCCACTCCGTTCCCGGCCAATGGGGACGGATGGATTACGAGGCGAACTCCGCCTCGTGCACGGTTTTTTTGCCCTGGAATTGAATCGACGCCCCTTCCTCCCGGTAATAGGCACCCTGGTGGGGATGAATCAATTGGTGGCTGCCCTGAAACCAGCCGCAAGATGGCTCCTCCCTTCCCCACTGCGTTCGGGGAAACCACCCCTGGCTCGAGGAGCCTGGCCAACAGCTTCGACCTTAGCCTCCAATTCCGCCAGATACACTCTTCCTCCAAGCTAGAAATTTTCTTCTCCGGGAAAAATCGTCCTCCATATTTCCTCCTCTTATTTTCCCTCCTTCGCTTATTTCTTCTTTCTTTCTTTTTTTTTTCATTCTATTACTTTCTATTTGTTTATTTTTTTTTAAATATGCAATTACAAGTATACATCCCGCGCTCAAGGAGAATTTTATTAGAGAATGGGATAAATTTTTTAGATCGGAACGAGTTAGGAGGGAGATGCTTTCGAAGTATGGAAAGTATAACAGAAAGAAACTCGACCAACGTTGTCCATCTTCGATGGAACGAGGCCGACAACGTTTCCCTTTCTTCGCGATCGTTTCTCCCGACGATTGTTGTGCCTCCACCACTCCTCCCCCCCACCACCCCACCAGAGGCGTATCTTCCACCCCTCCAGCCCTCGAGGGCACGATCCTCTTTTAATAAGAGGAGCTCAGAGCTCGGAGGCGTTAAGTAATTACATCTATTCTCTTCTGGGGAGGAAATTACCTGCGCCTCGGGGTGGGAAAAATTAGGAAATTAAAATTAACCCCCGCCACCTGGCTCGTCGTGTCGCTTCTCCCTCCACCCTGCCGCCACACTGTTCGCCATTTCTGTTCCCGTGTGTTCTCTCTCTTCCACCGTTCCACCACGGCTCGCGATGGTACTCTCGCCGGATGGAACTCTTCGTTCTCTCGAATTTAGGAGGAGCCGGCGGCCATTACCGCTTACGTAATCTTTTTACAGCGGCGGCACCTTGTTAAGCAAAGTTATTTAACGTCGGGACGAAAGGATGGCTCTCGGTTGGCCCGCGTTTTCTCGTCTATTCGCCCGGAATGGAGGAACGCAATTGTCTTTCAATCAAATTTCGAAAAATTTCTAATTTCCTCCCCATATTTCCTCCCATCGAAGTTCAAGTCAATCCAATCGTATCGTGCAATACATTTTTAACCGTTTCTTTAGACGACAATTTTTCAAGAGATCGATTTCTCGCCGGCAAGAATCCATGGGTTTCAAATTATCGTTGCGAATATTCACTCGATGCTCGCCACCATTGAGTTTCTCAATATTTATTTCCCCGTTCCTATTCTCGCGCTGTACAAATAATTCCTCGCGCGTGATAAATTTTCAAATGAAAAATTCATTCTCGACACTTATCTCCACGTCCTCCGATTCCCATTCCCCCCTACTCTGTTTATTCGCGCGCCGCATTCCAAATTTCAAATGGAAAATAAAAATCTCTAGCCACTCCGAGTTAACCACCACGTGCCTCTTAATCCGCCCGACATCGGTTTCTCAAACCGCGCAACCGAGTTCCCCAAAACTTGGTGGAACTCGGCGCACAGTAGTCGGAGGTACGGAGAAACTGGCGAGTTCCTAATTTACACAGCCGCCACATTCTCCGAACCCCTTTTGGCCGGGGCTCCTGAGTGCCGTCGGAACTTTGCCGACGATTAAAACGCTTTAGTAATTAACTGGGTCTCCTCACCTTCCCTGGTAACAGTTACCAAACCCACCATCGCACGCTCCTTCCGCCAACCAGTGTCGAGCCACTGTCTCCCTCTTTCTCTCCCTTTCTCTCTCTCTCTATCTCTCTCTCTCTCTCTATCTCTCTCTCTCTCTCTCCCAATGCCGCCAATTCTCCCTCTTCTTACAACTAGCCTCTTCTTCTCACCCTGTTCCACCCTCTTTCGCGCCACTTCTGGCCCGGTGGCGCATATTTAGGGATCGTCGGTCGGCGAAGGTTGCCCTGGCAACGACAGAGAGGGTTTCTCGACGGTGGTTGCCCTGGCAACCCTGGCTCACTCCGCTCCTTCATCTTCCCTCCGGAAGCCGGCTTCACCACCACCACAAGGGTGGATTCAATTCGTGAGAGCGGGAACGAATCGACTGTTGGCGAGGGTGGGTGGGTGGATGTAGGCCGGGGAGGAGGGGGAGGAGGAGGAGGAGGAGGAGGAGGAGGGAAAAGATGCCGCACGTTCGGTGATTGTATTTGATAGCCTGACCGTGGACGTGGGGAAAACGAAGATCCGACCTTGATTAAAGCGGAGCCCGCTGGATTCTTTTCGGTTTCACGGAATCTGGTTTCTGGCGTAGGTGGTGAAAATGGCTCGGGAGAATTTAATATTTGGGAAAATATTCTGGTTCGTTTTCTTTTTTTTTTTTCTTTTCTCTCTCTTCCTTTCTCTTTTTTCTTTCTTCTTCAGGTGGATGATGAGTTTGCGGGAGAACTTAATTTGGAGGAAGGGGTTGATTTTTTAATTATTTATTGGCGAGTATTGTTTTGTTAAAATTGATTGAGTTAAGGAGGGAATTAATAAGAGTTTGGATTGGTTCAAAGTTTCATAGAAAGTTTGAATAGATGGATTTCGACGAGGATGATTTTTAGTTAATTTTTTTCAATGGAATATTGAATACTATTTTGAAAAGGTTGATCAATTTCGTTGAGTAATGTTAATTAAGAGAGTTTAATACAAAAATATTTCCTGATCCTGATTGCTTATGTTCATTGCTTCAAGTCTTGAAGATTAACAAATGCAGAATGTTTCCAAGTAGGCCATAGAAATCAAAATAAATAAATAATTAACGAAATACAGAATTTATGTGTGTAATTGTAAAGTATTCTTCATTTTCTCCACTTGCAGTAATAGAATAATGTGTTAATGATTTTGAAGATGATTTACACCTTTAACCTACATTGTTAATTAAATTTTTTCATTTCTATGAAAGTTCCGTTCGGCATAATTGTAAAAATAAGTAAAAGATTATCTATCCAATTTATCTTAAAACTAGTTAAATCTCGAAACGAAACTAATATCATTATTTCAAGTGAAAGATACATTTCACTCTTCAAGGAACAAATGTGTTAATGTTCATAATCCAAATAATAAACCGACTACAAAAAATATAAAATAATCACGATTTATTTAATGCCATCATCATTTAAATAGAAACTCAATGATCGCAATTATTTTGTAACCTAATATGAAAATAATATGAAAAAAATAAATTTTCATTACATATATATATATAGGAATGTTTTTAGTGAATACAAAAAATAATTCACGTATGCGTAATAGAAAATTAAAGAGCAACGTCTACTACACGTACGTGTTGCTGATCCCTGAGGAATAACCGAGCTTACATATAAATACACCAACGAATATGATGAATTTCAACTTCGAAACAACTACGATCAAAAATTCAAAAAGATCGAGTAAGAATCAAAGAAAGATATAAAAAAAAAAAAAAAAAAAAATGAAGAATCATAGTAAATGTAAGTCCAACTTAGGAAATAAAACTATGGTGTAATACACGTTATTTCAACATACTAATTATAATTTAAAACCAATATAATACTAAAAGTGGAGAATATAATAAAAATATATTTAAAAAAGCTATTATAAGAAATATTAAATATCAATTTATAAATTACGAATTCTTATTATTCAAAAAAAATTCCAAGATATTCCATCCTCGAAATTACCAATGAAGATAATATCGAATAATACAACGAATAATTGTCACGTATTCTTACCAACACCGAATATACGATACAATCAATCAACAAACTCTAAATTATTCCCCTCCTTCCTCCTCCAAAAAAATTTTCAATACATTATAATTCTCAAAATATTTTCCATCGATCAAGAAATTAAATAATGCGAGGGAACTCAATCACCAATTACAATAGGAGCAAAAATTATGTCGGACCAGACGATTTTATCGAGCCAATAAAAACGGGCGAGCGTCGTTCTCGGGCTCTGTAATAAAGAAAAACGGCCGTGGCGACGGGTCGAATTTCCCTGACGTCGCGTGAAAATTCCCCGCTACTCGCGGACGTTCGTTTATGAAAAATTGATCGGGCCACGATATCTCACGTTTAGGCGGAATCCGTTGAAGGAAAGCAGGACACGCGCCGCTCGTCCATCAAAAAACCGCGGCGCGGGTGGTAACGTGGTTTAATATAAAACTTAAATAACGATACAGCGCCGCCATGACGAAAATGGGAAATAATCTTATGAATAACTTCTTCCCAGAGGGGTGATTCGCGGCCCCTGACGCGGTTCCAGAGAGTCGTGGCAAATTTGAGTACAGCCTGCGCCATCTTACGAATTATTTCCGCATCTCGATCCGGTTCGATTGATTTTGATTGCTTTCGATTTGCAAATTTTTTTTTTTTTTTCAGATCGGGATGATAATGAGAGAAATGTGTTTCGATAACGTAAATCTTGAAAATTTTCTTCGTGATTATTGAAAATATATCGAGTATAATTTGCCATCTCTATCTATCTTGTAGGGAAAGGGATATCCTTCTCCTTTTTTTCGTTATTGAACAGTAGTTTCTGAAAGAAAAAAAAAAAAAGAAAAATAAACAGACGTGTTAGAAGAAGAGAATTAAGTATCACGTGGAGAATAAAAAGTAAGTTTAATTGAAACTTGGAGGTTAGAAATATTTTAAAATTTTTGTATTTAAAAAAAGGAAATGGAGATTAATATGAGTTTTACGACCATTTTAATCATTATTGGACAATTTATAAAAGTAACGTGTCCAATATAGTATATATTGAAAGAGAAATAAATTTCTTGTAAAAAAGAAAAGAAAAAAGAAAAAGAAAAAAAATTTGAATATTATGCACAAAATTACCATTTCTTCCACGCACAAGTATCATAACTCGAATGCATGAATTATTTATCACGTAATGTAATTAGAGGATAAGAGTTTCATTGATAAATTACAACTTCCTCGACAATTTGTTCCAAAGTTATTGCAACTTTCTTTATCATAAACTTAATTCACGAAATTTATTCCACACTTGCGAAACTTTCATACTTATTTACGATAATTACTTATTTATTTTGAAAGACGACGTGACACAACATTCCCCCTCCTCGAATTGATAAATTAGAACTTTCCTTGAAATTTTCGACTATATTTTCACTTCCATCCGTGCATTTGTCACTTTTTTAATTGCGATTTCCTCTTCTTCTCTTTACGCTCGCGCGAAAACTCTCACGAGCGCTCAAGGCCACTACTTTCATCTCACGAGCTATCATTTCTTTTTTAATAAATAATGACATACACGTATATAATGTGACGAGCGTGTTTATATTTCATTAACCGAGAAGAATAATAAATAAATGAATAAAAATAAATGGATAAATACGACAATAAATTATTCCCGGCATACGTTGCTCCACCATGGAATTCTTTTCAGCGCCACCATTGAGATGCATCCGAGACAAAGTTTTTCCTTCTGTATCCCCCTCACTGAAAAACACCATCCTATTCGAGCCCATGTGAAAAACACGTGTAATGGTGTAATGATACGGTTCGCAGACGAACGCGTTTAGATTTTCTTTACGCGTTGATCGTGATGAGAGAGAGAGAGAGAGAGAGAGAGAGAGAAATACACACACGATTCAAATGGAAGTGCACGCGTTTCCACTAATTACCCGCTAATTGATAAATTAGAATCTCGACATGCACCCGGTTATTCGACTCGCGTCAACGCATTCCGCTCGTTTCAATTTATAACTCATTCAATCCGACGTAATTCTACGCGTGTTTAACTTTTGCATTATCATAAGTGGTACAAATCGGCGGATATTAAGCTGACGTCGTACATCTATCTCGTTACTTTTCTATTATTTTGAAGAATGCGATAAATTTATTGTGCCACTTCAATAATCGATAACGATTATATTCTTTTTATTCCTTTTAATCTCGCCTCGTTTCAATAAAATGATTTATTTTACGTATTCCTTTTTTAGATTTATTCCCTTATATTCAAACAGATTTTTCTTCGATATCATAATAATAAGTAGACACCGGTGTATGTTTGATTAAATAATCAAAAAATTGAAAAAAAAAAAAAAAAAAAAANAAAAAAAAAAAGATCTTCTCATCACTCCGATTTTTCCAATATCACGAAATTCTTTCTCTCTCTCTTTCTCTCTCTCTCTCTTTCATATTACCCATGCAAATGTTAATACTGAAACTAATATCAGCTAACTAATAAACGAAAATTTAAAGTTTGAATGGAACGAAAATTTTAAAATTCTCCTATTGAATCCCGCGAAGCATAATTTCTTCAAAATCTACCCTTGAAGGAAGACTAAAAATAACAATAACGAAAAATGAAATGATAAAAAACATTCTGCCCCTCCTCCTATTTATTTACTTTAATATAATCGTGTCGGATTTATCTCTCCCAATAGTCAGATAATCCAAGCTTTTCGATCGATCGAATGGGGAAGGGGGAAAAAAATTCAACCACGATTGTACGTGTCCAGTTGCAGCCTATTTGCAGGGTTGGGTATTTGCCCGATAAAAATTCCACACCGGTGGCGGCAGATAATTATTTTTCAGATAAGAGCCGAGAAGAAGAATTTAGCGGGTGCGGCCAGGCGGTTCGTTGCCGCGTGCCAAGAGCCAGGACGACTAATTAAGTGCGCCGTAAGTTAATTGAGCCGCGTAGGAGGAGGAGAGGAGGCGAGGAGATACGAGGGAAACGTTAAACTGTGTAAACATCGGGCTAATTACTTCGAGACTTTATCGTGCCACCGCGACCGCTCCGTCGAATCAAGATTTCGATTCGACGATATTCCACGACAGAAATAGAAGACGTTTAATGGAATAATGAAATACGAATGATCGAGTCTCGATATTTTGTTTAATTGGAGACGTAGAAGGGTTTGATGTAACCCTTTATGAGAGTTTATAACCTTTTTAAAATTTTGAAATTTTTTAATTGCACGTGTAATTGCAATGAATAACATCGTACGAATTCTGGAAATTTCTTAATTATAATTATAATGTAATTTGGAAATTTTATTCACTCCAAAAGAATTTTCACTGAGAAAGTGAAAAAATAAAAGTTTATAAATAGCAAATTTCGATCAAACTATAAGATCTTCTTCAATTTGATAGAATAAAGAAATTATTTTGCGATAAAGTTTAACATGTCTTCCGATTAAAGGAAGGAAAAGAAAAAATAAGAAAGGAAGATCGATGAATATGAAAAACGTCACGAGCCAGAGCGGAAATTGAACGAGGACAAAGGAAACTCGTCACGATGACGAGTCGCGATTTAATGAACGCGCCTCAAACCCCGTTCTTAACCCCGACTCCTCATCTAATCTATCCTATTTTTTTTTTTCCCTTCTCCGTTTTACCGATCGGGTCGTCCCGCTTTTTTTCCACAATCAAAACGCGATAAAGATGTCAAACGTCAGTTAACTGGCCACGGGGTCGTGACCGTACTTGCATTGAGAAATTTCAATTCATGAGCTCGGTTCATCCATTGATCGCTAGAGCCATCATATCTCGGTTACGTAATAATATATCTCGTGACCGGATATCGATTCGGAAAACATTAAGCCATCCATCGAGGTATATCAATTTCCGCTTGGTCAATCGACGAGCAAAATTCTAAAGCAAATTTTCCTTTTCTCTTTCTCTCTCTTTTCCTAGAACAATTATAATTTTAGATATTACGATATTATATCACGTTTTCTGCAACAAATACCGATGTGTTTGTAATAATTAATAATTGAGCTCGAATTTTCAGAATTTAACACCCCCTATCTTCGAATTTTTCAAATGAAAGAAGAACATCCTTATACGTTTGTAAAAATTATTCAATTGTTAAACGTATTAATATTCGATTCGATTAATTCCGTTTTATATTTTCTAACAATATCTCCAAAAATCTTTTCATCTTCTTGAAATTTCTAATCGTCCATTTACCCGTCGACTGAAAAAAGACTGAAAAATAAAATTTATCAGATTCCAAAAAATTTCATTTCGCTCGTTCATTCAATATCCCCACCTCACGAAGCTCTCTTTCTCTCTCGAAAAAAAAATAAAACCCTCTCCATCCTTTCGAAATCCTTCCAATCCATGCCTCTCCACTCCCACGCGAACCTCACTCGACTTCACGACGACGATCCACGGTTTCTCCTCTCCTAAGGAGCAAAAATTTCCCTCCCTCCCCCCTCCATCCCCGGAAGCCGAGTATCTCGAGATTCGCGGTTGCTTTGCAAGTCTAATTGCCGGCACGAGAATCGCGAACGAACGAAGAGGGACAAGAGTTGTAAAGAGACGAGAGGAGAGAAAGGGGGTGGTGGAAGAACATATATATATATATATATAGGGAAGGACTTTAGCTCGCGAGAGGGACGGCCATAACAGGAGCGCAAAAATGGGGTTGCCGGTGAAAGGGAGATGCAAAGATGGCTGCTGCAACGAGGTGTCTACTACGCTTCTCTCCTCTCTTCCTCTCCTTTCTTCTTGCCCCCTTACATCCACCGCAACGTCTCCGACGTTTTCCATCCTTCGACTTCGGTTCCACGAGTTTCTCCACCGTATTCGTCCCGTCGATAGGGGATTCGAGTCACGCTCGGGCGGTTAGTTCTGATTAGCGACAGGGCGAATGACGTACCACCAGGCAGGATCTCGTGCCTCGAATACGGAAGCAGATACGATGCAAGAGCCAACGTGACCAAGCCACCGCCGCTGTTTTATGGGAATTTATTTAAGAGGATCCGCGAGACGCCCTGGGCCCTTCTCGCTACACGAGCTGAGGATATCCTTGGAAACGCGATGGGTACATAAGATTTCTTATTTAGTTAGCTCGATGGTGGGGGGAGGGGATGCTTTGCACCTTGGAGGGATGAGATCGAGCGTTTCGAGTGGTTTGATGGTTTTGTTTTGTTGTTGTTGGTTGGAGTTTGGCGAGGTTTGATTTGTTTTAATCGATCGATGAAAATTTCCGAACTTTTTGAAGTGGTTTTTGATTAATTTGATGGTGTTTGCACCAATCGAGTTTTAATTCTATTTTTCTAATAAATAGTAGTATCGAGAAGATGTGAAATATTCGGGTTTGGTCGAAGTTTGAACGAGTTTGTACCCTTAACCTAAAACCTAAAATGCATAAAACAATTTAATAACACAAAAAACAGAAACAAAAATTGTTAAACAAAAATATCGTTCGTGGGATAATTTTCTAATCACGAACAAAATAATTTTACTCAAGAAACATCTGTACGAGAGATAACTTGCCAAATAACAAGTAGAACAGATATCAAGTACAACTCTTCGATATTTTATACTTTTTAATACAGAGATACTGTATTAAATATTTGTATTACGTTCCAAATGATGTTTCAAAATGGGCGCGTAACCCATTTCTCCCGAAAATTTTTCGAAACACGCGTTTCCCGCCACGAATAAAAAATAAAAGTCATCGACGTTGAGTTAATCGTCAGAGGTGATGTTGTATGTTTAACAGGGAAATTACATCTCGGCACGGGCCTTGATTAAACACCGAATTTTCCCGTTGTAACCAGCCACCGCTATAATTAAATTAATTAGCCATTTACCGTGTGTTTATCATCGAATATTAAAACGTAGTGCGCACGGATCTTCCTGTCACTATGTTCCGATTAAATTGCCCACAGTGTCGATACAAATGATCAAGCTTAACCCGGATATATGGTACAATAACTAACAATCAGGGCGGGGCTAGTAAAAGCAACGCGGAACAAATTATTTTATTCTTCATTGAATAATACGAGCCGGCACGGTTTTGCGAGAAAAGAGAGGGCCGACAAAATGTATCATCATCCTATTTTCCAATTTGCGTTCCAAAAACGAGCCGTGTACCCCTCCCCTCGCCTCTACCCTGCCTGTCAATTTTCTGAAAATTTTAACAGAATGGACCGGGGAAAATAGTAATTTTACGCCTCTTCGTTCCGGGGAATAAAAATAAAACGAGAATTTAAGGCTTTTGGTGGAAAAATTTTTTTTTTTTTTTTTTTTTTGCCCGGATCACAGGGATTGGAAACTATAAAAAAGAATTTCCTCCTCTCTATTGTAACTGTTATAATTCATAAACAGGCTGACTTCTTAAAATATTTTGCTATATGTTGCCAATTTTCTAAACTATTAACCAAATTTAAACGCTTTCACAATCAAATGATATATCTTTAGAATTCCTATCACTTAGAATTTCCGGATGTAAGTGATTCGAATAGAAATTTCATCAGAGGTCAGACGATAGTGAAAGCAATGTGAATTTTATCAAACTGGAAAATTAAGAAGCCGTTTACACGAATATTAAGCAATTGTAATAAAATTTTTTAGATCGTGGTAAAACTTGATACAGCAAGATTGTTTAAATATCATTCCAGAATGATATTATAAAATTCCAAAAACTTAAATTACATCAAAGCCAACCTAAAAATTAATATAAGAACCAATTATTTATACATTAATTCTTAACACGATACCGATCTTATTAAAGCTCTTTTATATAACAAATATAGATCAAGTAAACGTAATTTTTTCCAGAAAAAATTGAACCCCATCCACCCTTTGAAAACAGCCCGTGAAACACTTTGGCACAACATTATTCCAACCGATGGATCGAAAGCCCCGATACGGTGTACACAAGTAAGATACACTCACCAGATTCATCCTAGATCGGGCCACGTCTGCTCCAGAGGTGTCGAGCTGATTCACCGTAATCCGCTCGAAATTCGCGCTCGAGAAAGAGAGAGAGAGATCCAGCGTAGGCAAGAAGGGAAAGGAGCGGCTGATAAAGGAAAGAAGGAACACCGTGTCCTCTTAAATCACGAAAAAAGAAGCCCTCTTTTTCCTCCGTCCTCTTCTTCCTCGACCTTTCCACCCCTATATCCTCCACCCTTCTCCCTCTCTCGCCTCTCGAATCGTTCGTCGACTCACGAATCCTCCTCGCCCCTTATCGTCCAGACGATCTACATCTACGTCCGCACACCTCGGTACGGTACCGTTTTCTTCTTCTTCTTCTTCTTCTTCTTCTTCTTCTTCTTCTTCTTCTTCCTTCTCTTCTTTTTCTTCCTCTTCCTCTTCTTCTTCGAAAGAGAAGAGACGCAGAGGCAACCGGACACTCACCAACACAGGGCTCGGATAATGTAGTCCTCCGGTTGATTTATGGGTTAATAGTTAACCGGCCGTAAATAATGCTAATCACACTCTTATTATACGTTCTGGCAAACCAGTCGCTGCGAATGTTTTGTCCCCGGCTCCCGCCAAGATTTCAGACATGTTAGAATCCCTTTCTTCGGTGAGCTGTGCACTCCGATTGGACGAGGCTATTTCTTTAGATGCCGATGGAAGTGGAAAGGTGGAAGCGGACATCTTATTATGCATTGTACGAATAAATGTTTCGCGGCGATGGATTCGTCTTTCCACGTACAGGTCTGTGGGGGATGATTGATCGTCGAAAATGGAGGACGACGTTCGGGAGTTGGACACCTGAAATTGATTACGAGATGTTAGAGCGGTTATTTAATTTGGTTCTTCTTTTTTTTTTCAAATGGGAATAAAGTTGATAAAAATCGTTTATATTATTAAATATTATTAAGAATCATTTATATTACTTTAGAGAAAAAAATGATGTTATCAACAAGTCGAGTAAATGCCTCGAATGACATCATATATCTTTGAGATAGAGATAGATTTTTAGATCGCTCCAAGATCCAAAGGTCGCGATATATACTTTATAAAAACAATTTTATAAAGTATGATTTATACAGTATTTTATCGAATGAAAAAATATTTTCTGGAATTTTAAAATAGAATTCCAAATGAATGTTCACAATTCTAAAAAATTCTGAATTCTAAAAAAATTCAATTCTTCGTAAGATATCTCTATAATGAAATTCAGGTGAGGAATTATAAAAAGAAAAGATCCATTCGACGAAAATATCGAATGCTTGGATTTAAAGGAGGATGGCCGGAAATTGCGATTTCTAGGGATCGGGGGAAGGTCCAGTCGACCAATACGAGGCCACCGAGCAAAATAGCCGATACATTTTATTTCACCAGCCGTGCTCCTCTGCGAATGGTGTGCTGACTCCGTGTTTTCCTCCCCGAAACCCTTGTTTCCGCGCCACGAGCACCGTCTACGCGATTCACCCTCGAAAAAAAGCGTGGAAGACCGTGGAGGGTGGTTCCAGCTGGAAATATCGGTCGGTCGATTGGAAACGGTTTAGCCACGGGAAATTCGCCGCGGATTGGATTGTATTTCGAGGAAGAACAATCGTCATCAGAGAATTTCTCTTTCTTCGGGATGAAGTTTGGTGAACGATGGCAAATACGATTGTGGGAGAAGATAGAATGATGTGTTCACTTTTCAAGGATTGAGAAATTTGGAAACGAAAATGAGAAAAAATTGAAATGAATAATTACAATTTTTTTTTTTGAAAAGAAATTAATAAATTTGAAGAGGATTACAAAATTTGCCTTTGATTTTTTAAATGTGACGATTAAGAAAATAATCTTGTTGCAAAGCAAGATTACTGAGTATTTAAAATTAGTATGGAGATAAATTTTTGATAAATTTGTCCTCGATATTTTTTTTTTTCTTTTTTTTGTAAATTTCCGGTAGGCCATCTTGTTTAGTACGATAGTAAGATTGATTTAAGACGAATGAGCAAACAGCTTGTGGAACTTCCTCAGGAAATGATCTTGATTGGCCAATCGTTTGGGCTATTTTCCTTATCAGTTTTATAAGAATAGCCGACAAAATGTCGAAACTAATTCATCGTTCAAAAACTAATTGCTGATATAATCTCTCGAATCTTTCTGTATCTTTCGCCCTTTGATCTTTGAAAAAAGTCGTGCATTTTTGTTAAACTTATTTTTGAGATTTTTACGTAAAAATCACTCTTTGCGAAGTGATTAATTACATTATGAAATTTGATGCATATCTTTATCATTCGATTATAACGAAATTTCCAGAATATTAGAAAGTATTGCACATCTATGCAAATTATTTATATAAATCGTTTATATTATCGTCGCTATCCTCCCCCTCCCCCCTCTTCCTCGCACAATTTTTCTTCATCGCTGAAATAGGAATTTTAATTATACTTTCCAATTAAATTATTATTAATAATAACGCTTACTTAGCATTTAACCTCGAGTAAAAACTAAAAGAATTCCATCTAATTAAATTTCAATAATTTAAATTTTATCATCTATGCAAATATACTTATCTTTTACTTCGCAAATCTAAACAATTCTTAGCTTTTAATCAACATTCAACAAATCATTCAACAAAACTTAAATCAATTTCATCTAGTATTACAAAATCGAATCGATTACGAATTGAATACTCGGAGCAATCAAATATCAAATATCAAAATTTCTCAAACTTTCTTCCACCAAAATCTATCTATCTATCTTTGCTCATCACGATTAACACTAATTTGTCACTTCTGCCCAAGTGAAACAGGCAGGCAGGTGTGCCCTCTTCTGCAGCCGAGACCAGTGTCAGCAGCCTCTCCACCATACCTCTCATGGATCCAGGGTGGTAAAAAGTTGAAACAAAACCGCGCTAAAAGTCGTATCGCCTGGAACAACGTCGTTCCGGCCAACGTCCACGAAGAAGATTGACCACCTTCGATAGTAATGGGGGCTTGATTACAAAGCACGCTCCACACCGGCCCTGCCCCCTGTTTATATCAATATCTCTCTTCTGCGTGCGCACACAGGCACACAGTGCTGAGTACTGTGCGCGTTCCCTCGAAGAACCGATGCCCGTCGTGCATCGGGTTTCACCGGAAACGGTGAATTTCATCGCGAACCAGGTATCTAGGAATCGTGGAGCCCCCTCGTTTCATCCGACAACTGGTGGCAATTTTCGTTAAAATCCGCCTGATATCTCGAATTTCACTTTTCCATCGTTCTTGAGAATTCTGTTTCTCGTCGTCGAGATTCGGATAAATTGATTAACTTGTTGTTGTTGGGATTCGTAATTTCGTAATCAGTGTATTCCGATTATATATTTATACAACCAGATAGAGATCGTTTATCGAATTAATGGAAATTTACAGGAGGAGGAATATTCCTTTTCGTCGAAATTTTCAAATAAAATTCAAATATATATCTCGCGTTACTCGTTTCAGAATTTTTATATATGTAATATTTACATATATATATATTCGTTACGCGAACACGAACGCCCTCCTCAATTTCTTAATCGTGTAAAAAATACCCCGACAACAATCCACCGATAAAGAATCCACTTTTCGAATTCGACGAATTCTTCCAAGATGTTGGAAGAACGTTTCATTCGACCACCCTTCTTCCGCGATCCCTCCTCTCTCAAGAGCACACGTTAAAGGCCCCCGCGATCGGGCCGAGATTATAAACGGCGCTCGTTCCAAGAACCATACCCATATCCGTCCACGAGGAGGGAGGAGGGGAGTGGAGTGGTGCATTAAATTATGTAGAATTTTCAATATGTGCCATAATATCGGTACCCACGAATACCCAAAGGAACGAAGACGAGAGCACAATTCCCATCATCGATAAGACGATCTCCCCTCCCCCCTCCTCGAAGCCAGGTCGAGAATCGGTTTTGTATCGTGGTCGATCGTGGCGGAAGAGCTTGCACCGCGCCTGCCGTGAAACGGCCTTACGCCAATGGCCGATGATGAAGTTATCCAGCGATAATGGCTCCATTACGTTGCACCGTCTCCAATGGGGCCCCGCGCACACACGCGCGTGCCCCACACGTACGCAAGCACGGGGTAAGCGTGTGGTCAGGCAGGTATCCGGGCGAAGGACCCGGACCACGTACACACGTTTCCACGATCTCGGGCCGAGCCGAGGGAGAGGGTGGTTGCGGCCAAGGTGGATCCGGCACCGTGGATTGGACAGGAATGGAAGGCAACGAAAGAGGGAGAAGGGGGTGGCGAGTATCGTCGCACCGTATACTTACCGATGGCGATTGTTTATGTTGGCTGATGGCCACTTATGTTGCACACACATCGCATTACGAGGCATCGTTCTCGGCCCTCACTCACGGCCCGTTACTTAGCCCGTGGCTTCGACGTCGTAGGGTAATGGCGAACACGTTACGGATAAAATGTATACTTAGTCCGTCGGCCTGATGGCACCCCTATGCAACGGCACCACAGATTACGTTTACGTTTACGCCCCGCTCCCCTTGTCCACGTTTCTCCTTTATCATTGTTATTTATCCGTTTTTTTCTCTCTCTCTCTCTCTTTTTCTGCGTTGTTGTTGTTGTTGTTGTTGTTGTTGTTGCGTTTGTTGGCGACACGAAGTTGCGGCCATTTTTTTCGACATTCGAAAGAGACGCTTCGTGACGCACCTGCTGGCGAAACTTGAGAAATTGCGCCTGTTGCTTTTTTTTTTTTTTCTTTTTGATCGTGATTAAAGTTCCGTTCGTGTTCTCTTCGACTGCTTTGATTGGGATTTCTTCTAATTATTTTTAATACGGATAAATGTAAATAATTGTGCTGTAATTAGAATTAGTTTTCCTGTGGATAATTAATAAAATATCTATTTTATTTTTATAAAGTTGTGGAATTTAATATCTTTTATCTTATGTAACGTTTTACCTTATATATATATTCTTCAATCTAATTGTAACATCTAACCAAATTTCATAAATTACTCTTTTCCAACGATATTGAACATTATTATTACGTTTTAATGAGCGGTATACAACGTTCGTTTATCCGTCTATCCTAAATAGAAGTGGAGATTTAATTCGTGTAAACGATCGTGCGATATCACTTGTCGAAAAGAAAAAAAGAAAAGAAAAAAACAGGATCCCCCGAGAGGAGAACGATCGAAACCGATGTGTCTGATCGTTTTAATCGGCCCGCCCCGATTATTTTAAATCATCCCACGTAAACAGGCGTCCCGACTTCCTTCGCCAAGTTGCAGAGTCTTCGAGAGGAGAGCACCAGATCTCATCCACCGGCATCCGTTTTGTTCTTATTGGCAGCGATAGAGGCGGGATTCAATAGTTATTCATTAAACTCGAATTCAGTCGGGCAGGATGCTGGGGTCAGTTCCACGCTGACCTTGCGGCTATATTCAAAGGCCTTATCTCCTGCTGAGGTTCCTCGTCCTTCTTTCTCTCCTCCTCCCTCTTTCTCCGTCTCTCTCTCTTGCCTCCCTCCTCCCTTTTATTCCTCTCTCGCCACGCTTTCGATATGCGCATATCGAAATACACTACTACGCCTCGTCCGCGAAACGTCCTCCTATCTGACGAACCCCTTTTTTCTTCCCGCCACTTCCTGTTTCGATATTTTTACTCGTCGTATCGTTTTCCGTGATTCTTCTAATTTCGCGCTTCCTGGGAGGCCATTATGGTCTCTGCTTTTGAAAATCACATGATTCGATCGATTCAATTTGATCTTCTTTGCGAAATTATGACAATTTTTTTATGAAAATTTTCCTTCCTTTCAAGGAAGATTATTCTGTGGAGAGA